AGGCAGGAGACTCACTTGAGCCCAGGAGTTGGAGGTTGCTGTGAGCTGTGATGCCATGGCACGGCACTCTACCCATGGGGAAAGCTTGAGGCTCTGTCTCAAAAAGAAAAAAATATATATACATACACAAAAAATACTCTTAAGTGGAAACAGTCATCTATTATCCTATTTTTGGAAAAGTTAAAGACAGAAACATGCTCACCTGGTTCTGAACAACAATCTTGCAGGAAAATTGCTCTTACTGAAAGGTAAGAATAGTATTCCTTGGTGATCAGGAAGAAATGAGAAATTCTGATTCCCCCCAAAGCCATGTCTTTCCCCACACTCTTGTCTACTTCTACTTCCACAGCCAATGACAGCTGTATTCTCCTAAACCTAATTCTAGGCACAGCTATCTTATAAAGGCATGAAAGTGATCTCGCCTTAATTTAATGAACTGCCTTTATGAACTAAAAAGAAAATGAATTGCATCACATGCAGAAATGTCAGATCATTTAAAAGCAGCTATTTATTTATTTAAAAGCAGCTATTTCCCATCATATTTATGAGATGTGAACACTTTATTTTTTTTTCATGTAAATACTTTAGAAATCAAATTAGCTTTGGGTAACTTGTGCTGTGGCATTTCCAAAGAAATGATTCCAGGCACTCTGAAGGCCATGGTTTAAAAGTATACTCCTACAAGTTAAATAAGCACACTTTACCTGACCAGGTCTTGGATGTAGCTAAATGATAACTTTATCTTCCTCTGTCTCTTAATTCTAAACTCCAAACTGAATCCCACTGGCTTTAGTTTAACATCTGAAGATCCATATTCTCTCATTAGTGCAGTGTTTACTATAAAATGTCTATATATGTTAGTAACACTAGAAAAGGAAGTTCTTTGTTTCCTGAGATTTTAGACACATCAATTCCTCTCATCCCAAAATCACATGGTTTACAGTCTGTGCCTAGTGGGAACTGTGCTCACATGCACCCAGGGCACCATAAGGAAGCCAGAAGTAATTTCAGTCAGACAAGAACATCCCCAGGTTCTAGAGACAGCCAGTGCTGGGGCTACTCACTTGTTCAAGAGTCCAGGGAGCCTTCAGTCTGGATCCAGAAAGTTCTAACAGTAGCACTGGTTACAATGGATACAAATCAGATCTGCAGAAAAACAAAGAGATAATAAGGATGTGGCCAATCAGGAAGTTCAGAAGGATTCCTCGTGGGTTTTTAATACTAAACCAGGGCTGGGCG